AATATTGTCTCATCAGACAACACTTAAACAGTACTGAGGCAAACCTCACAAGGCCACAGGACATAGTGGTACCAGCCAGATGATGGCAATAGGGGTAGCTGTTCCTTATGGATCACACCATAATCTAACCTGGCCCTTAAAAGTATGCAGATGTTATGAGTGGTGGTAGATGCTGGCTTTCAGGAAGAAATAGCAGTGTTACATGTGTGTGGATTCTATTAAAAATGATGCCCTCAAGTAATTTATAATGGCAGAGGTTGTTTTTGTGAAGTATCACTAGATGAGGTTTATTGGGAGATGGAAGTTTATCCCAGCTACCTGTCTAAGAATGTTGATGTTGTGTTTCACAAATTCATATGTAATCTTAATCTGTCAAGTACTTATTTCCATTGATTCCAACAAAAGGAACTTTGCCTCTGACAAAACACTATTCCTTACAGTACATGTCTCTGTTCACCTACAACAAAACATGTTTCCAAAAATCTCTGTTATAAATATAGGAATCTGAGGGGACAACCTCTCCTCATAGTACCCGCTAAACTGCTAGAGATCCCTAGTCATATTTGGTTGTTAGATCCCTGATTTATGGCAACCCAAAGGCTGCCTTGTCACAGGGTTTTCTTGGCTAGTTCAGTGAGACTTTGCCTTTGCCTTTCTCTAAGGCCGAGAGAGTGTGACTTTCCCAAGGTTACCCAGTGGATTTCCATGGCTGAGTGAAGATTCAGATCCTGGTCTCCAGAGTCAGTGTTCAACATTGAAACCATTACATCTATATAGTTTATTACAAACCTTTCTATTTATAAATAAGCAATTGATTCTTTTTTCTCCTGATTTCAGTAACAAAGTCCATTATGATGCTTTTAAAAAGATGTGTTACTTTGTTGCACTATAAAAAGAAAGAAGGTATGGGGAGAAAAATGTGGCATAGCTTTGCGACCAACTGTTATTTATTTTTGCATTAACTTTCATGGATAAAACCCAATTTCTTCAGTTGAAGTTCCAAGTGATATAAAGCTTGAAAACAACACAGAAAGTTTTGTGTCTCCTTCTTCCCGTTGCATCTGCCTACAAATCCTCTGTAACATTCTTTCCTTCAATTTGAGAGAGCATCATAATTCTTAATTCAGAACCTAGCATAAACATATCTTTTTTATTTGATCAGCAAGGAATTTTGTAACACCTCCAAAAAAATACTTAACCTTTTGTTATTTCAGTTATGTGTATCCAGAGATAATTATAGTAAGCTAGTCTTTTCCATCCTGATGTCCTCTCAAATGTATTAAATTATCATTCCCATCATTCCAAAGCCAGAACAGCGAATGAGGTGGGAGTGGAAGCCTAGCACATCTGGACATAAGGGTGCAGTTAAGTATTGAGTCTATGGCTAATTCAAAAATATTCATGGGGAAAGTTTTGAAGGATGTTGAAATCATGTAAGTGCTGCTGTGGAATGCTGTTCCTATCATAGAAGACAGCAAGTAGAATACTATATTATTTTGTTTAAGAATCTGTATGCCTTTTGTACATCTTGCCAGTGTAAATGCAAGGCTCCTTTATGTAAGACATTTTGCTTTGAAATTGGTGCCAGTTCTATGGCTATCACGACTAGATCATCAATTCATATCTGATCAGTTATGCTTATGTGTACCTCTGCATGTTTAATTAGATGTGTCTTGTTTTGAGTCATTCATATAAATACCTACTTAGAAAAAATATTTCTCCTCTTAAAGCAGTCGTTTCTCTTTGAATATTTTGTTTTTTACTTACTGTTGCTTTCTTGCCATATGAGAAGCAGCAACAAAACCCAGGCACATAAGTGGAGTTAGACAATTAAAACTTGTGATTGCTGTCTTGAGGGAATTCTTTGATACCTTAAAGGGTTTTCCTTCTTCATAAAGTGAACCTAGCCTAAATACCCTAGAGGAGGCATCCTCAAACTTTGGCCCTCCTGTTCTTTGGGCCTCCAACTCACAGAATTCCTGACCATTGAACAAGCTGGCAAGGGCTTGTGGGAGTTCGAGGCCCAAACACCTGGAGGGCCTCAGTTTGAGGATGCCTGTCCTAGAGACACCATACCTTTTTTGATATGAAAAGCTAAACAAGATCAGCCCTGGTTAATACTTTGATGGAAGACTACCAGTAAATCCCAGCTACCATAGGCTATGCTTCAGAGGAAGGAATTGATAAAATCACCTTTCAGTATGCCTTGCCTAAGAAATCCCTATGATATTAATGTGGTAACCATATGCCAGCCAACAATGTGAAAGCATAGACACATGCAAGGGTATGTTTACATTTCAGTATATCCACTTAAAAAAAAAACAAAAAACAGAAATCAAAGCATTTAGTGTTCTCTGGTATTTCCTAGTCAGAAAAAGATCACTTGGGATATGAGTTAAATGTAATGGTGTTTCCAGTTTAATATTATTCTCTTATGAACAAATAGTGGTTCAACATTCACGAACTTTGTTTCATGCATAACATTATTGAAAATATTACAAGTGTATATGTAACTTAAATGAAGTTTGTATTTAGACTTGGATCCCTTTTCTAAGATATTTCATTTATGCAACCACAGGTATTCAGAAATCCAGGGAAAAATCAGAAATCCAAAACACAAATAATTACACCAATAATGTTAGGTCCCTCTGAAAATGTCTATCTTTCCTTAATATTTGATCCATAAAGGTTGCTTGATTTTTATTTCCTGAATAATATGTTCTGATTGTCACTATTCTTCCTGTTTTTCCCCTTATATAAATATCATTCTTCCTTCCAATCAATAACGTTTATTTCTATTTTGAACTAAACTGTTTTTAAAGTAAGATTGTTTCAATATTATTTTAATTCTTTGTTTCAAATGTGTTTCTTGTAGAATAATATCTGTTCGCAAAGTTTTAACAATTCCATATCCTCTAACTTTTGTATGATGAGCCTATGCCATTAACATTTAAAGAGTTTAATGCTTCCCTTGGTTTGGCTAAATAACATCACCAAATTGAGGTGTGCAATAAATTTGATGGGCATTAGAATCGCACATGTAAACCAACCTGCATGAAAAGGCCCGGAGGGGCTTGGAGCCTCAGAGCCTGGATAGGGAGGCAGGAGCTAATAGGTTGTTCCAGGTGGTGGCTTCAGGGCTCTATGGCACCTGAAGAAGAAGGAAGGGTGCCCAGCTGGTGATCCTGTTGTTCTTGCCACTTCATCACAGTGGGACTGCAAGAGAGCACTAAACATTGTCCCCACCACCTTCCTCTAGTCCAGGGCTCAGCCATGCATCCTCCCTCTCGGGCAGGCTTTGGGGTCTCTTGCTCACCTATCCTTAAGGCTCAGTCCCTTGTAACAAGGCCTTAAAAACCTCCCCCTCAGTTTTAAAGGAGTTGTGAATAAGGGCAGTTGGGAACTGTGTGAGGCTGATATCTACAAATCCTTTTCCACTGCAAATCCCATTTTTGTAATGCACACCTTCAAAACTGAGGTATGCATTATGTTTGATGCCCCATTATACTTGAGTAAATACTAATAAAATATTTTCCACAATTTTAATGTAAGTTATATTTATGAAAAAGATTGTGTTGAATTTGCTAAATCTAGGTGTGGTAACATTGGAAATAATAGCAAAAAAAGGTTTCTGACTGACTATCAGTTTTCCGTTCTTCACCTTTTCGCATTCCTTGCCCTCCCTTCACCGAAACATAGTAATAAAGGCACCCGTGCAGTCAGTGTGAATTACGGGGAGTGAAGTGGCTTGGCCGCTCCTAGGTGATCTATGTAGGAAGGGAAGGGAGAAAGAAAGGAGGGAGGAAAGGAAGGGGGAAGGAAGAAAAGGGTGGGAAGGAAAGATGGAAGGAAGAGAGGAGCATGCAGGGAGAAAAGGAAAGAAAGCTAAAGTAGGGAAGAGAAAGGAATGGAAGAAAGAAGGGATGAAAGAAGAGGAGAACGGAAGGAAGAGAAAGGAAAGGAAGTATATGCCGGAAAGCAAGGGAAGAGGGAAGGGAAGGAAAAGGTGACATCATAGACAGCCACCTCACCTAGCAATAGCTAATCCTTCACCTAGCCACAGCCAATCCACTTTGTTCTTTTTCTCAACTCTGAGCCTGAAAGAGGTGACCATTCTTTTATTAAACCCCCTTAATTATTTTAAGTTGGTTAATGAAGGTTATATGTGCCAAATTTGGTCCAGATCCACCATGCTATCTAGGAGCATTTCTAGTACTACTACTACTACTACTACTACTACTACTAGTAATAATAATAATAATAATAATAATAATACTTTATTTATATTCTGCCCTATCTCCCCAAGGGGACTCAGGGCGGATTCCCGCATACACAGTCAAACATTACAAAGGCAAACATTCAATGCCTAGAAATAACTAAACATAGATAAAGGTAAAGGCTTCCCCTTCTGGCTCTGAGGACTGCTCATCTCTGGCTCTGGGTGTTGGTGCTCATCTCCAGCTCTGCAAGTGGTGCTCATTTTCATTTCTAAGCTGAGGAGCCTGAGTTGTGTGTTGATACCTCCTAGGTCATGTAGCCAGCTTGACTGCATGGAGCGCTGTTTACCTTCCCACTGAGGCAGTACCTATTTATCTACTCACATTTGCATGTTTTTCTTCTGCTAGGTTGGCAGAAGCTGGGTCTAACAGCGGGAGCTATCTCCGTCCCATGGATTCGAACCGCCAACTTTTCAGTCAGCAAGTTCAGCAGCTCAGTGTTTTAACCTGTTGCGCCACCACACAAACCAACATACATACATACATACATACTGACTTTTATGTAGACTTTTATATGTTTTGTGATATTTTATATATTGTGGAATTGTAATAAAAAACAAAAAATAATTTTATTTTTTAATTGCTGGCATGCATAGTTCAACAGCAGGGTGTAATGAAGTCTTTTAGAAAATAAATGCTATTCACAAAGATATCGGAAACAAATAGATTTTGATCTATGAGAATCAACACATAAATTAAATACTTATGTTATTGTTTATTTAGTGGATGAAGTTTGGAGCTACTTCTGGATTAGTACAATTTACTCAACGTTCTGCTCGAAGATCATTTGGACGACAGAAGAGATTCAGCATTACTCGTTCGCTTGATAATCTTGAGGTAATTTTGCAACACTAAACTTTTATTATTTTCTGTTCAGACATGTTGATTTTGATGCTTAATCTGATGAACCTTGACAAAAAACATATATAACGTATTATTTAATTGGATGCATATGAGCTATTGTTAGACATACCTGGTGTTTGTTCTGTTACTAAAGATGTCTACCTCTTGATTTTGTCTTACAAAATTTACCTTGACATCTTTTGAAATATGCTAATCTGTGAGGCAGAAAGTCTTACCTTTCTTATAAAATGTTCAGTTCTGCACATTACTAAGATACATAAAGATAGACATATGAGGTATGTGATTTACTCCTTGAAAATCATTTCTCCAATCCTGTTTAGGTTTTAGCATACCTTTTTTTCAAAACCAAGAAATAACTGTCTGAGAAGGTGGGGTTAGGTATACATAGCAAATCACCCCACTTTCTTAGGCTGGGGTTTGCTATGGGGTATATGTAAAATGGGGGGTTTGGTTTGCATTGGGAGCCCCATGCAACCTGTGAGCTACAATTTCTTTACCTTCTGAAATAAGTAGATTTCATGAGGCGAAGTGTTCCAGTACAGTCTTCACAGGTGACTGTTAGCCAGCATATATTATTTGCAAACCATAATTTTTAAAGTAAGAAAGAACAGACAGTTTCTTAGGCAACATATATGAGCAATTGTTATTACTCATAGTTTGATGGATCCCAGAGACAGAGTTTTAAACATTTTTAAAGTGTGTGTTGGCATTTGACTCCTATATGACATAGGAGAGGTACTATATAGCTCCGTGAGTAAAATAAGTGGGTGTGGTGTTGAAATTTATGAGAATCCTGTTCTACCAGGAAAAAGAATCTTGTAAAGATATTCAAAGGCGCAAGGAACAGACAAGTAGGATAGAGCAAAGAACATAATAGGCTTGCGTGCGATTTTAATCTTGAAGGAACATGCAGCTACATGCTGAGAAACAGAGAAAATAGCAACAGGCTGTTTACAGTGCTGTCTCAAAAAAAGGATTTTGAAAGCCATTTGATGATCCTCCTATACGCATTTCACATTGAACCCGTAGACTGCTAATATGCTATCTCTGTAGATGGTTCATTGTTATGCAGATGTCCACATTAGCAATTTAAATCTCTGGGTAGCAGTTGCGGTTTCTTTTCTGAGTTGATACAGAAACTAGTTTTCAATCTGGGTGGATGGCCACTGGGAAAGAAAAAGCAACACTTCAGCTTTCATTCTGCTGGTCAGAAGATAAGAATATGTGTCAGTCATTTGATAGAAAAATTTAGTTAAAATGGGACATGAATCCCATAGGACTTACACATGGATGAAAAGGGCAACATCAGTCATGTAAGTATACCCTGTTTTGTCTAAACTAGTATAAAAATCAAGAAAGAGGTTTGAAGGGAAGCAGTGTTACTTTGTGTTCTTTTGATATATTAATTTGGATGTTAAGTTATTCAAGTTACGTTAGTTATAATTTTCAATTGATTATGTTTTATTTAAATTATAGTTGTTATTCTTAAGTTGCTCTTTATGTGGGGTTATTTTGGGTTATTTATATTTGTATTTACTGTTATTGAGGCATTGAATGTTTTCCTATTTTTGTTGGGATCCGCCCTGAGTCCCCTAGGGGAGATAAGGCGGAATATAAATATATTATTGTTATTATTATTATCATCGTCATCATTATTACTTATGAGAAAATCTAAACTGCTTCTAAAAAATCTGAATTTTCTCTGGTAGAAACTCCTCAGTTTATCAAGTGACATAGACTGATATTTTAATTATTGAGTTAGTTGGCAGCAAAGTACTTCCCCATACCATTTTTAAATTATACTGAATCTTAATATATTTGTATTATAAGAATAATTTAATATTTTTTTAAAAAATGATTTTAATGAGCTTTTTATATTTTCCTATGTGATTTAGTTATGTTTATTTCCTTTTGTTTTAGCTAACAGCTCCCTTTATAACTCAAACAAAATCTAAGGCTTCAACATTTGTTTGCTTTTATTATTTGCAATCAATGTAGTAAAGAATAAATGCAGATTTAAAGCCATTTAAAACAGCTTAATATTATACATATTGATTTTCATCCTGTTAAAAGAAAAAAAAAAACATTTGGAGTTGGCATTTTTATTTTCATTTATTAGAAAAGTGAAGCAGTCTAGTTTATCAGAAAGCCTGCATTTTATCAAAAGTGACTTATTGTGTAATATTTAGTGAACTAAATCATACTTACTTCTTTGTGAACATGGACAGGATTGTGCTTTATCTTTTGAAGTCACATACTCAGATCATTTTAACTCAGTTCGATCACCTTAACATCCAAAAGTGTTGCTATTCAATATTTCTTAGCTTTTTCTTTGAATCTTGAAAAAGTCTAATTTTATTACACAATTTCATATCTTTAAAAAGAATAGTGTTCGATTACTGAGATTTTAATTGATATACATTGTCAGCTAAATGTGTGAATTTGTAAACAGCCTGTCTATGTTTGGCAAGATATTAAGCAAAAATCTTTGAAACAGGGTTTTCTGAACTCTGTATGTTTCAGGCACTAGAATTGGGATTCTCCTTCCCTTTCCTCTATAGTCCTCCATGTTACATGAGTGATTATTATTGGAATTCCAGGACTTTTAGAGCCTTTATTCCATTCACAGCAGAAGTGCCCATCTTGAGATGCTGAGTTCGAAAGAGTAAATTGCAGGTAGAAAAATAGGTCTAGAATCCTCAACAAGAGGAACATTTATTATTCTTAAGTTGCAATAACCTGATCCTTTCTAAAATAATCTAAGAGAAGGATGGTGAGGGACACACGTTGCAGCATGTCCTCCCTCCTCTAACAGGAAGTGTGCGGGGAGGGTTCAAACCGGGCTAGATCTTTTTCTTTTACAACAACTTAATCCTGAATAAACCATGGAAAAATATCTGCCCAAAACAGAGGTGCTTGCTATTAAGGGTCCTAACCTAGTTTACTCCCAAACTGTCAGATCCAGAAGCACTCCCCAATGGCAAACACAGTATTTCAGGCAGAGCGTAGCCCTATTCAGACCTGGCTGACACACCTCCAACTCTAGTTTGAGACCCTTAATGGCAAGCACCTCTGGTCTCTGAAGGAGCGTAATACAGGTTTCAACTGTTTCTGTAGTTATTTCTGCTTCAATTTTGTTCACTAGTAATGGGATAGTTTTCTTTTGTGCTTGCATCGCCAACTTTCCCAATACTGTTTTGGGCAGGTATTTTTCCCTGGTTTTGTCAGGATTAAGTTGTTGTAAAAGAAAAGATCTGGCCCGGTGTGAACCCTCCCCACTCCCTTCCTGTCTGATGAGGGAGGACACGCTGCAACATGTGTTCTTCACCTAGGGTTGGAGGTGTGTCAACCAGGTCTGAATGGGGCTACACTCTGCCTGAAAGACTATTTCCCATTTAAGAGCACTCCTGGATCTGCCAGTTTGATAGTAAACTCAAGGTTGGACTTCTGCAGTGTGCAGTATATTGGGTATTGTACCGTGTTCAGAAAGTCCAGTTAGTTGAAAACATGGCAGCCAGATTGGTCATGAAAACACCCCATGGTAACAAAATTTGCACCAGAGAGTTTGATAGACCCTCCCCATTTCCACTGGCAGAAGCAACAGATTCAGCAGTTTTTTTGTTTTTCATTTTGTTTCGTTTTGTTTTTTTGTCATGTCAGGAGAAACTGCAAGTCGCTTCTGGTGTGAGAGAATTGGCCGTCTGAAAGGACGTTGCCCAGGGTATGCCCAGATGTTTTGATGTTTTTACCATCCTTGTGGGAGGCGTCGCTCATGTCCCCGCATGAGGAGCTGGAGCTGTTAGAGAGAGCTCATGCACTCTCTCCCCAGATTCGAACCTGCGACCTGTCGGTCTTCAGTCCTGCCGGCACAGGGGTTTAACCCACTGTGCCACCAGGGGCTCCATTCAGCAGTTGTACACTTCTCAATTTTGACCTTGCTGTTGTATTCATATGCATATGATAAATCAAAGTATGTTTCATGTTTCCATCAACGTCTGGAACCATAAATAAAGGTGTTTTTCCAAACTATCACAGTTACCGTTTTCTTTGCTAGAACAGGCCCACGGTTGTAACATTTTATTTCTGACATGACTTGGTTCATGCCTAAATGCCCTTCTAGAACAGCCCAGTTCTTTGTGTAGTATAAACTGTAGACTGTCGATTACATAAAACATTGTAATTCTGTTCCTAAAATGGACAGTCGTTGATCCCAAAGTTGCACACCAAGCTCCGTGTAGAGATATAAAGAATATTCACAGATAGTCCATGGTATACGTCATCCAAAATGGTTCAACCATTGTAAATTATGGAACTTTTTTTGTAAAAATTGCAATTTTTCAAAAGAAAATGTTGTTTTTCACACTAAAACCCATTATTTTCGGCACAAATGTTGTTTTTAGTAAAGGAATTTTTCACTAAGAAAATCCTAAAAAGCAAAAATGCCTGGAATCTCTGATAATCACACCTCAATGCATCTAAGAATGAAGCAACCAAAGATTGACATCTCTACCTGTGTGTCCCTCAGCAATGGATACTTCTCTTCTGCTCTTAGGCAAGCCTTCTCCACTACATCCCTTCCCAGCACTGCCAGTGCTCAAAGGCCCAGCATCTGATGCCATCTGGGGTGAAGGGATATCTTTGTGATTCATAATTGCGCAGCTGCTATGCTGTGAGGAGAAGGGAATCAGAGACGGTTCAAATACAGAGGAGGAAAATGGGTAGGAAGAGAAAGGGGGAGGAAAATTCAGTATCTCAGCACGTCTGAGCTAAAAGCAGCTGAGGTAAATATAGGGAGAGGCAGAGACAAGCTGAAGTACAGAGAGTGGAAAATTAGAAGGAGGAATACTGTGTATTCTGCTACAAGAAGGCATATACAGTCAAGTAAAGAAACATTCATTTGATTTTCAGTTACCCTTTTACTTTTGGGCAATTATGACAAAATCAGTGTTTCATTTTTTATATAAAGAATATCT